CTCTTATCATCATAACTATTATATGTTAATTTTTGAGTCTTAAGAGTCCTCAACTGGTGGTTGAAAGRCCGTATAGAAATATTTTCTCTATACACGTTTAAACCGGCTTCACCAAAAAGACATTTCCTATGGTCTTCGAATGACATGTGGTTATCAACGACATGTKTTCTTATACCTTTGGCCCTAATCTCCTCTTTTGGACTATTCCCCCCGKCCCCCATAATTTTAAAAGCGTACGATTTGGCACGGAGTGCGCAAAACTCCGTCATTATATCGCCCTTCGTCTCATCCGAAAAGAAGCCTGGTACCTTGCTACGGTCGGGAATATAACAAGGGTGGTTCTGTGGAAGATTCGAAGTATCCATCCTGTCAAGTAAGATGGGGTTGTTAATTAAGTCCTCATAAAAATCTTCAGTGTATATATGATAGACCAGTGAGTCTGAAAAAAAAAAATGTAGTGCTTAACATAAAACATATAAAATATTTATTTACCTGTATCAGTGTACATAAGATGGATTTTTTCCGCATAATGTTTCTGCATCACATTGTAATGATAATCATACATTAATGATTTGGATATATCAAGTACAGCAAAACCTAATAGTCAACATAAGTCAATTTCAGGATAAAAAAAATATATATATATATATACCTATATATATCGGTTTACAAAAATCTATGATTTTATTTTCCAACGTGACGGCTGAAAGATTCTCGTTGTATGTAGTACAATGCTTGAAAGTAGATTTATTAATAAGTTTTTGAAGACGTCTATCACTTGCTACTATCTCCATTTTCAACCTTTTTCTCATCGATTCTAACGTCTTTCCTACAAAATAATAAATACTATACAATTTTCAATTTACAAAAAAAAGTTTAAAAGTAACAAACCAAATACTGCATTATTCATTAATTTATAAAATTCTTTTTCAAAGTCATTTCTCGCTTCCTTTCTCATTTTGGTATTTAGTGAAATATAATCAGCTAACCACCYCGACTGTTTAAATTGAACTACTCTATGCACCTATAATAATAATAATAATAAAGACAAAAATATATTCAAGCTTATAAAAAATACAATATTTTTTACTTTTTCAACTATTAATCCATTTTTTATGCACTGCTGGAGGTTCCTGTAATGAATTATATAATTTTTTTTGGGCTCTAGTGTAGCCATCAGTTTTTGGGCTCTCGAAMCTGCAGGAATAGTGTTTTGCGGAAGAAATGGAAGATCATTGTGCCGATCGTGCAATTCTTTTGGATAAGCTACATCCACCTCATAAATCCGACCTATAGGCGAGTTGTCATTCAAATCGTTCAATCCATCAAGTGAGGCTTTAACCCACTCAAATCCTCCACTGGGCATGTACTCACTCATTGAATAACCATACAAATTATTACCTAAGAATATTTAATAAGATAAGTTTATTAGTCTATTATTTAAAAATATTAATACTTTTTTTCTTACAATCTTGATAAACCAACCACGATTTTTCTTTCTCTGCATCATATTCGGGAGCCTTCTCATTATTTGCTTTTGCATACCGCATGCTTGCCTGCACCAGTCCACCGCGAATACCTATTTAATTCAAAAAAAATTATATATCAAAATTTTTAAACTTTTAAACTTTTAAACTTTTAAACTTTTTTTWAAACCTTTTTCAATCATTAAGACCATCTCATAATCCGACAGAAGGTCCAATTTGATCTCAGTTTTTTTCAACATGCAATCAAAAGACATTCCAGGGGCTGTGTAATAAAATGCCGGGTCGATTGAATACGCTTTCATGCACACATCTCGAAAGTTTTCAAAGACGTCAGATAGTAGCAGCACATCGATTTTTAAGTATAAATCTGAGTATTCTCCGAGTGTAGTACACCCAAAGTGTCTCCAAACCTTCTCGGCATGCTCATACTCTTCGTCTTCAATCCCACTTTCCTTAAGCGTGCTATAAAATTCTTCTTTTCTAGGTAATCTTTTTTCATCTAGTTTCACCCAACTATCAGTATAGTCATAAGGATATACCCCCTTGCGAGAAACGAGTGCCATATCTCCGGCGACAAAATGTTTTGCAGTCTCACGGAATTTTTCAAGCCCTGGTGTTATGAGGTTTTCAGCCAATCTTTCCAAGCTCGACGCCATAAACCTTATAGTATCGATAAACCGAATAGTGAAAGTACTACTTAAATATTTTGAAAAAGATATAAAT